GTCGTGGTTCGCGTCAGCGTCCTCCTCCTGTCCCTGGCACACACCAGATGGCTCTGCGTCCTTCCACGGCTCCGCAGCGTGTCCCTCTGCCGTCTCCTCCTGCGTCCTCTCTTCCTGCCCTTGCTGACCCGGAGTCTGACTCCCTTCGTGCTGCTAGTCCTACTGTCATGCGTCTCCTGGCCACTGTTGTCACTGACCCTTTCTTTGAGTCCACTGCTGCGTCTGCCTTAGTTGCTGAGCTTGTCGACTTTGCTGCTCACTGTCGTCTAGTCTACGCTGCTAGTCTTGTTGCTGAGTCTGAGTCTGTCTGTCCTCCGTCCGTCGGGGGTGAGTGTGCTCTTAGCACGGACGTCCTTGAGGACAAGCAGGAGGAGTTCCAGCGTTTTGCTGCTGCTTTACCTCATCTCGTGTCCATGCTTCTTGCCCCTGAGGGAGACCCGGATGCACCAGACATCCCGACCCCGCGCTCTTACGCTGAGGCAATAGAGGGTCCCTACTCCTCTCAGTGGCAGACAGCCATGGACGCAGAGATGGCTTCCTGGAAGTCCATAGGCACCTACGTCGACGAGGTTCCCCCTCCTGGGGCGAACATCGTCAGTGGCATGTGGTTTTTCAGGGTGAAGCGGCCGCCAGGTTCTCCGCCTGTCTTCAAGGCACGTTACGTGGCTCGAGGCTTCAGTCAGCGGCAGGGAGTTGACTACTTTCAGATCTTCTCTCCCACCCCGAAGATGACCACTCTTCGGGTACTGCTGCACGTCGCTGCTCAGCGTGACTACGAGCTTCACTCTCTTGACTTCAGCACAACCTTCCTACAGGGCAGCCTGCACGAGGAGATCTGGCTGCACCGCCCACCTGGCTTCACTGGGTCGTTTCCTCCTGGTACCCAGTGGAGCCTCCGGCGGCCAGTCTACGGTCTCCGCCAGGCGCCCCGTGAGTGGCACGACACAATGAGGACTACGCTTGCGGCTCTTGGGTTTGCTCCTTCCACTGCTGACCTGTCGCTGTTTCTCCGCACCGACACTTTGCTGCCGCCGTTCTACATCCTCGTGTACGTCGACGACTTGGTCTTTGCTACTGCTGACACTGCTGGACTCGCCCACGTGAAGTCGGAGCTGCAGAAGAGACACGCGTGCACAGACCTGGGTGAACTGCGCAGCTATCTTGGCTTGCAGATCACCCGGGACAGAGCACGGCGCACCATTACCTTGACTCAGTCACACATGGTGCAGCAGGTCCTTCAGCGCTTCAACTTCACTTACTCCTCGCCTCAGGCCACTCCTCTGTCTACTCGCCACTCGCTCTCAGCTCTGCCTTCGAACGAGTCCGTAGAGCCGAGTGGCCCGTACCCAGAGCTTGTTGGCTACCTCATGTACCTGATGACCTGCACTCGACCTGACCTGACATACCCTCTTAGCATCTTGGCACGCTATGTTGCTCCTGGGAGACACCGACCAGAGCACATGGATGTAGCTAAGAGGGTGTTGCGCTACCTGCGCAGTACGTCGGGCACGGGGCTCGTGCTTGGAGGACGGGCTCGAGTTGTCCTCACTGGTCACGCAGACGCTTCTTGGGTTGACGACTTGGCCACGCAGCGTTCGTCACAGGGTTACACCTTCAGCCTTGGTTCCGGCTCTGTTTCGTGGCGGTCTACCCGCTCGTCTTCTGTTCTCAGCTCCAGTTGTGAGGCTGAGATCTACACCACAGCCATGGCTGCACAGGAGTTACGCTGGCTCACCTACCTGCTGACCGACTTGGGAGAGGCGCCTCGTTCTCCTCCAGATCTGTACGTCGACAACAAGGCCATGCTGGCCTTGTGTCAGGAGCACAGACTGGAGCACAGAACGAAGCACATTGCTCTGCGTTACTTCCTTGCTCGAGATTTGCAGCAGCGTGGTCAGCTTCGTCTTGCCTACGTGGCCACTCGGGCCAACACTGCTGATATCTTTACCAAGGCACTTCAGCCTTGTGATCATCAGCGTTTTTGTACTATGTTAGGTCTTGTACCTACCTGGCCTCACTTGCTTACCTCTTGACTTTGCTTGTACTGTGATCTATATGTACCTGCACCTGCATGCTTACCCTTGCTAGGTTGAGATCGCTGTCATGCTTGTTCACCTTGATTTATACTCCTGCATGTGAACTGGCCTTGTGGCCTTGTACTTGTGCTCAGAATGCGTGGTGACGTTGTGATCCACCCTGAGCTTGACCTTGCCTTGTTCTCTTGTTTGTCTCCCACTTTGCCTATGGGGGTGTGTCAAAACTATATTGTAGGCTGTAGTGGGGCACTCCTTATGGGGTACAGTATTGTTAGGTTTTGCATATACAAACCTTGTACTGTCCTGTTTCTAGTCATTCTCGTTTCATACCTTGTAACAAAAACATCCCATTTATTTCTCACCTAACTAAGTAGTTGCCCATGTTGTACATTCATAGTTGTGCACGTTTTTTTGGTTACAAAAACGTGTAGCAGGTTTTCTTTTTGTTGCTGGTTCAATTCCTACTGGCGGGTATAATTTCCGCCATGAATTGATTGGTCGAAAATCGCGCACATCGAATTTCTTACCGACATTCTTCTGTGCGTTCGCGGGGGTGCGTAGGGGTTACCGCGACCCTGCGCAAATGAACTCCTGAGATCTTCTGCACCTGCTTGCGCCCCCTGCACCTGTGCACGAGATGTTGCTGCTGCATCCGCGAATGCTACAGTTGCTCATGCACGGGTTTCCTCGTACACCTTGTGTACAGCCAATTCTTCACCTCGTGCCAGAGGTCCTTGGCCCAGCCTGCGCAAAAGCTCCAGATCCCGTCCATGCACATGCAGGGCTCTTCTCAAGAGATACCACACTGGCAAACTTGGATGTATCAAAAGCAATGTCAGGCCTCGTGTGATCCGCCACATAGTTGAATGCCCCAACCATAGAATTGAACAACTTCCGGTCACTCTCACCCACCACCTCTTCATCACCACAGGGCCCCAACCATAGTGGGGTTGCTGGCTTTCCTCCATCCTGCAGCCCATACTTCTCAGCCAGCTCCTCACAGTACTTCCTCTGGCTCAACCTCAACACTCCCCTGTCAAGGTCCCTCTCCACATGCATCCTTCAAATCCCTGATCTTCGAGCACTTGAAGTGTATCTCCAGCATCTCCTCCATACGGTAAATCATAGCAGATGACTCAGAGAAGAGAAGGATGTCGTCCACATCCACCAGAAGCATGAGGAACCGCTCCTTCTCTTGCAGCAAGAACGAGCTGTGACCACACTCCCTCTTCTGAATTCCCCAGCCAGCAATGTCTCCTCTAGCTGATGATACCATGCGCGAGGAGCCTGCTTCAAGCCATAGATAGCCTTCTTCAGCCTGCACACCCTGTTGCTCCCATAGTCCAATCCCACAGGCTGCAACATGTACAACTCCTCCAGAATGATCCCATCGAGAAAAGTAGTCGTGATATCCATCTGCTTGATCCTCCATCCGGTTTGCAGCTGTTGCCAACGTCACCCTCAGTGTCGTGCCTTTCCCATAGGAGAAAACCTTAATGTAATAGTGTCGGAATAGTGTTTGTAGCGGGTATGAGAGGTGATGAAAAGGAAGAAGTTGTTTTCACCCTTAACCCAAAACCTTAGATAAGTGTTTTCACAGCTATTGGTGACTCCTATATATGCTTCACACACCTGTTTGTGCTTCTCGTTATTGGCTCCAGAATTGCGGGAGTCGAATAGGCACATCAGCCTTTCCCTGACAGTTTGTAAGTCCATCCAATCAAAGGACTGAAGTTCGATTTCGCGGGAAAACGTCGTATTTGAATATTCGCGAGTGTGGAAGATGATGCGGCTCGGAAAGGGGTTTTAGCAAACAGTTGGGAGGGAGATCACAGCAGAGGCTGACGCATCCCACGATATCAGCACGATTTACAGGAATGCTGGGCAGATGTCCCAGTGACACTTCATTTTCTTGCCCGCTACAGTCTGGTTAGCCAAAAAGCTTCCTGTCGCTGCTGACGGGCAGCAGTAGACTTCTGACCTAGGGCAGTTCGCACGCACCGCATGGCTTGCCCCAAAGCGACGCGTGATCCCCACATCAAAGGTTTGATCGAGCCGCGCCGTCACCTCCACTCAATCTCATCAGGTGCGAGGAAAGTGGTGTGTCTTTGCTTGCGTAAAGCCCAGGCTTCCAACTTCAGCAAGCAGTAGGATGCTGTCATTTTCCGTCAGCTGTCACCAGCACTCATCCCCAGCCACATTGCTTCTCCATTACTACATTGCATACGGAACCCCATGGCTCTTCAGAGAAATAGCACATCGTCAGTGAATAGTTTTTCCTCCCAGCTCTTCCCAACCGTACGGAAAAGAAAGCTTGTTTTTGGCTCCGAGTCCATTCCCGAGCGGTCTATTCGCATTCGTCCCAGCCTGGACGCCAGTTATACCAGCCCGATTTTTGGCACCGCAACAGGCCGTTTCGACGACTACTTCGCTCTATGCTCCACCACTCCCCTGGGGTCCGGCAGATTCGGCGCCGTGCGTAAATGCATTTGCAAGGCGACGGGGGAGGCCTTCGCGTGCAAAACGCTGCAGAAGAAAGAGTTGATCGGCGAGGCTGGGCGGGATGACGTGCGTCGCGAGGTTCGCATGTTGCAGCAAGTGGCAGGCCACCCCGGGATAGTTCAGCTGCACGCGGTATTTGAGGACGAAAACGAGGTGCATCTGGTTACCGAGCTTTGCGATGGTGGCGAGCTCTTCGACGACGTCGTGCGACGCGGGCGTCTGCCTGAGAAGGAAGCGGCGCAGGTGTTCATGCAGGTGGCATCGGCTGTCGCATTCTGCCACTCCCGCGGCATTGTGCATCGCGACGTCAAGCCCGAAAACATTTTACTGTGCTTCAACAGGAGCCATGACCCAGTTGCGGAGAAGAAAACTGAAGTTTTCTCTCCCACTGGCATGGCCCCAGCGCGTCCCACTTCCGCGAGCCCCTCCCCCTCATTGATCGGAAACCCCTCTGCGCGTAAGAGCGCGTTCGTCCCCGAGCCCGCTCCCCATCTTCGCGTGAAGCTCGCGGATTTCGGCCTCGCGCTGAGCATCGGCCGCGACGGCCGCACGCGAGGCGCGGCAGGGTCGCCGTACTACATGGCGCCAGAGGTGTTCACCGGCGAGTACGGCTGCTCGGCCGACGTGTGGTCGCTGGGCGTCGTGCTCCACGTGCTGCTGAGCGGCGGCGTGCCGTTCTGGGGCGACGACGAGGCGGCCACGATCCGCAGCGTGTTGCACGGGCGGTTGGATCTGGGGGAGGAGTCCGCGGCGTGGGCGGGAGTGTCGGCGGAGGCGCGCGGGCTGATTCGGTGCATGCTGGAGAGGGACCCGCGGCGACGCCCGTCCGCCAGCAAGGTGCTCTCGCACCCCTGGCTGCTGCTGCACGCCTTCGGCGGACGTATCGTGCGGAAGGCTGTGCGCGGAGAGGCAGCACAAGCTGCCACCGCGCAGAGCACCGCGCGTTCCGCGCTGAATGAGCATGCGCGCGCCCAAGCAGCACAAGCAGATCTCGTGGGGGCTCGGCGGGGTGGGAGCTTGATGGAAGCGGAGCAAGGTGCAGCATGCGCCACAGCCAGTGGATCCGCTTCGCCTACCTGCGCTGTGCGTGCTGAGGGACGTGGGCAAGTCAGCCATGGTGCAGCGCGCGTGCAGGCGTCAGCGTGAACTTGTAACGGGTACTGCGCTGGTCTTGAAGGCACCCTTTCCAGCCCAGAGATCAGGAACGGAGGCGTAGTGCGAAGCTCGGGTCAGCAAGGGAACAGGCAGAAAAGAGTCAAAATTGTTCAAGAAAGCAGTCGGCAAGTCCCCGGGAAGAGTTATTTTCAGTGGCTCGTCTCCCTGGCTTTGGCTGGTGGATAAGCCTATGGCTTTGGTTATGCTGCCATGCTTGGCGTTAGAAGTTCATGGACTAGGAGATTAGAGAATGAGGCTAGTGGTTGAAGGCTTGACGGAGAAATGTGGCATTTCCAGGCCTGTTTAGGAGGAGTGGTGCAAAGCAGAGGTGCAAACCGGCAAACGTATGTTTGCTGTTACCCTCTCATACTCATTTATTCTTAGGGTTCTTTTGTTATTCATGGTGTAGCTGGTTTGGCTGTTCTCAGAGACTCAGGGCTCTTGTTTCTCAATTACCTACCTGCCCCATATACCGGTACGGAACCTTCAAATACAGTAATATGCGAATAGTAACTCTCAAAGTAGGAACGCAAATTAACTAGGAACTGATGAACTAGGAAAGTGAGTGATACAAATAGCAAACCTAGAAAGTGTTGTACTCTCTACAGTGCTACTCACTACAGCCTATTACAACAATGTTCAACATTTGACACACCCCCATAGGCTAAGTGAGGGGCATCAAAGCAAGCACGGTGAACAGACGGTCACAAGACCAGTCAAGACAAGAAGCAAAGCATTCTCAGGGAAGATCTCAAGGACACCACACAAAGTCCGAGCACAAAGCAAGCGGCCACAAGGCCAGTTCAAGAGTTCACTAGGATATATAGAAAAGCAAAACAAGCAGAGCAAACAACAAGGCTATAGCAGTCGAGGGCCTACCTCAACAAGCCCCAACTGCACACAGACTCTGTAGTGGTCACCAGGCGCCAAGGCCTTGGTGAAGACGTCGTCAGTGTTGGCCTCTGAGGCCACAAAGTCCAAGCGTGCATGGCCGCGTCGCTGCAACTTTCGCAGGAAGAAGTACCTCACGTCAATATGCTTCACTCCGCTCTCCAGTCGAGGCTCTCGACATAGGAGGTGTTGAAACAACCGAAAGGTTATATAAAGCATTCCCGAAGCTGCTCCACTGTACCAATACCGCAATAGCTCATATAGAGCATGCGGAATGTCGAGGGTCACCCGAAGGTCAACCGTCTGAGGAAGTCAACGGTCGTGACCTTTGACGATCCAGTAACCGCGCGACAGTTAATTCACTGCAACATGGTAACTGTCGAGGATAGCAATAGTCGCGGTTACAGCTATGCAATAAAGTTTATAAGGGAATGTACCCCTCAGAGTACATGGCTAGCTAGAGTTCTATTTAATCTCTTGTACTCCTATCTTTCAATTATCTTGTTCTCTTTCAATTATTATTCAACAAGGTCACTACGGAGACTTCATTGTCTCCTCTCAGACTTAACATATCCTATCCTATCTACTGAATCCTTGGTTATATCAGCATGGTATGAGAGCTAGAGTGGATCATAGGATCTGTCAAGTCTTCGTTCTTCTCAGAACAATCCCTTTATGAAGTTATTAATTACACCTCAAAGTCTGCAATACTATGGCTCCTGAAGGAAAAGCTACTGCAGACTCACCGGGCCCACCACCAGCAACGACTAACGCGCCATCAGCGGTGACCTCCGTCAGCGCCGCTGTCGTTGAGGAGCTAGTCGCACGCATCAACGCCCTTGAAAGCCATCAAGCAACGAGCATTGACGGCTCAAGCTATGCACGTGGCGTTGCTGGACTTCCTCTTCCTGGAGAAGACCGCCGCGTCAACTCCGAGAGATCATTCACCTTCGACAATCGTCAAGGGTCAGCTCCTGCATAAGACAACTCACAACGCTCACAGTCAGACATCGCTTCAATGCAAACCAAATTTGTATTGACTTCAAAATTGAAGACCTCAATTCCTTTCGACGGAAAGGATTTCTACACGTGGAGTTTCGAATTCGAGCTTCTCGCGACAACCGCTCAGATCTGGATGTACTACGACGGAAGCCCACCTTTTCCTTCGGAAGGCACTATCCAGGAGAAGCATCAATACTACCACGAATCCCTCCTCGCATACACCGCTCTCCTTCGCAACCTCTCACCTGAAGAGCCGCTTGGCATTCGTCCTTATAAGACGGAATGGGCTCCCGCGCACGCGTCCTGGAAACACCTGCGCAACTCATACATGGCAACAGATTCAGTTACGATGAGTCGTCTGCTCAGCCAGCTGACTTCGGTTAAAATGAAGCAAGGGGAGAAAGCGGGACCGTATGTCAACCGGTGCCGCAATCTGCGCGACCAAGTCAAGAAATGCGGTGGGACTGTCCCCGACGACATGTTCATCTCGATGGTCATCTCTGGCCTCGGCCCCGACTGGCGACAGTGCCAGCCACTCCTTCGCGCCCGAGCAACCATATCGGAGTCGGCTCTGTGCGCCACGCTTCTTTCGGAACAGAAGGAGATCGACCTGTACAACGAGAAGAATGTCAAACGGGAGAAATTAGTCTTCTACACAGGAGCATCACAAGGGGAGCAACGCGGAAAGAAGGGAGCTTTCTGCAAATACTACAAGAAGTCTGGCCACACTATCGATCAGTGCTACAAGCGTCAGGCCGCTGACGAGCGGCGCAACGCCTCCAACCAACAACCATCGGCACAGACAAAGCCTTCCGCCACAACCTCCACTGTGTCGCCTCCTTCCGTCGCCAGCACTTCTCAATCTCCTGCACTCATCATGGCGAAGGACAAAGGAAAAGGGACAATCATAAGCTGCATGGCTCGCCGCAACAGAGGGTTCCGTTACTGGGATCGAGTAACATTCGCTCGCGACAATCCCATCAACCCCGTTGCACCCAGTCCAGACAATGATCCAACAGTCTTTACCTGGTCCACTCGCCCCTCAGACATTCCTCCTGACTTCGAGCTCCCTCCTACTCCGGCGAGCATTTCCGCAAACAGACATTTCGCCCTCTCACCGTACACCGGCGACTTTGATCGCATCGTCACACCCAAGATCGCCAACCTCGCCCGCCAGCGCTACGAGGATCTGGACACACGGTACCTCGACAGTTGCTGCGGACAACACATGGTGGGATCGCCAAAGTTCATCAGCAACTCACGGCGTATGCGACGACCATGCGAAATCACCGCCGCCAACAACGGAAAAATGAAGGCATATGAGATTGGCGAAATCTACCTCGAGGCCAATGACACGAAGTTCACCATTCACATCGGAGACGTCCTCGTCGCACCTGACCTACAATACAACTTACTCTCGTCAGCTCAACTCATGCGGTGCGGAATTGACATTCGCAGCAATCGGAAGGAGAAGACCTTCGAGCTCTTCCACAACGAAACTTACATCCGAAAGGCGATCGATGACGATGGAGTCTTCGTGCTGCAATTTTCGGCTCAGGGCACCACCGGCGATTCCCACCGCACACTGCTACTGAAAACAACCCCCACGGAGCCACCAACATGGTCACATCCCGACGAGATGGATCTCGAGCGACCTGCCTCCGACGGCCTTCTGCGCTTGCGCACCGTTCCGACTGCCTCGACCTCCAACCCTGCAGAAACCGGACCTGCCACAATGGAAGAAGACAGCGGCACGTCAGGACCAGCAACACAACCAACCGAGGAAAACAAGACAGCGGAGACACGCTGGACGGGCTGGAACTCTTCCGAGCCCGCGCTCGGATCCTTTGGAGAAATTTTAACTCCAGAAGAAGCAGCCGCAAGCGGGTGGGGCGCCGTTTCAACGGGAGATGTCAAATGTTATATAGGTTATATTATTGTAGGCTACAGTGGGTTAGCCTATAGGGGGTTCACAACTCTAGGTTTGACATACTTGTACTCTCACTTGTTTCTAGTCCAACCACTTCGTCTTTCTAACATGGTATTAAGAGCGTAGGTTTAGACCTAGGATCGCTCCTTAGGGCCCACCGTTCAGTTTCTGTCTGCCTACTAGCGCCCTCCTGCGCCCTACTGTCGGAGCGCCCTCGAGCGCCTCCCCCCAGCGCCCTCGTGCGCCCCTCTTTAACGGCCCCTTAAGGCCCCGCGACCCGCGACCCGCCCCTTAGCGACCCGCGCGCCGCCCCTTAGAGGCCCCGTCGACCCCGCGCGCCACCCCTTAGAGGCCCCGTTGGCCCCGTCGACCCCGCGCGCGCCCCGCTTAGAGGCCCCGTCGGCCCCACCTAGAGGCCCCGTCGGCCCCACCTAGAGGCCCCGTCGGCCCCGTCGACCCCACGTGCGCCCCGCCTAGAGGCCCCGCTGGCCCCGTCGACCCCATGTGCGCCCCGCCTAGAGGCCCCGCCGGCCCCGTCGACCCCGCGCGCCGTCCCTTAGCGGCCCCGTCGGCCCCGTAGACCCCGCGCGCACCCACCCCTTAGCGGCCCCGTCGACCCCAAGCGCCGCCCCTTAGCGCCCCGCACGCGACAGCCACGGCCCCGCCAGAACCAGGCCGCCCGAACCGAGCCGCCCGAACCGAGCCGCCCAGTCCGAGCCGAGCCGCGCCGCCCGAACCGAGCCGCGCCGCCCTACCTGAACCGAGCCGCGCCGCCCGTACTGAGCAGCCTCTCTGGACCGAGCCGCCCTACCTGAGTCGCGCTGCCTACTGCTTTTAGGGTGCACCTACTGCTACTACTGCTACTGCTCCTACTGCTACTATGGCTAGCCCTCCTGTGCTAGCTTTCGATGCTGAGGGCCGCCCAGTGAAGTTTGACACCTGGCTAGATGACCTGCACCTCTTCCTACAGCTCACTGCCAAGGAGGACATCTCACTGTACGATCATGCCCTAGGCCATGCCACTGCCCCTGCTGCTACTGCTGACAGCACTGCCCGCTCACAGTGGCAGACTCGTGACGCCCACGCTCGCTTTGCTATTCGCAACTCCCTGCCGATAGATGAGCGCGAGCACTTTGGCCAGCACAAGACTGCACAGGCACTGTACACT